CCCAATATCTCCGGGGGGGTGCTTCTGATCCAAAAGTGGAAAAGGACTTTTCGGCTCAGAATCACCCGCTGTACATGCTGTTAAAGGATTAGCATGTACTTCTGGGACACCCTGTATATATCAGGGCCCGGCAACCTTCAGGTAGTCAGGAGGTAGCCTATTACTAGGGTCGGGATAATCCTATCATCCTAATGGGTAGCCAATTAGCCAACCATTGTGAGCGAATAAATCCCAGCAGTGACGATATTGCAGCCAGCCACGTAGAGTGGCGTGCCAGTCGCATAAAAATTGCTGACCCGCCAGAATTGGCGCGAATTTTCAGTTTCAAATTTTAAATGGAAAATAGAAAGATTAAAATTTACAATGAAAAACCCTCAAGAATATATCTAGTAATTGGTTTTCGGTAATTATTATTTTCCTACCAAATAGTGCCACTCTAAATGTGAAAAATGAAAATTTGCCACGGTTATTTTGGAAGATTCTATTATATATTATATTATAATCCTGATGGTTTTTTTCATTCAAATTTCAACCAATCAAATGCTGGCATTTTCCGTCACGTGGTACAAGTAAAACGGTTTTACTTGGGATATTTTTCGAATATTTCCTCGTTTGTTGCTAAGCAATGACAATATCGAATAAACAATTGGTACGCGTTTCAAGCACCAAAACTGTCATTAGAAAAAATCAAGTTCAAAGACTTTAACTCGACATGAGAAGATTTGGAGGAGAATCCTTGGACATTATTAATCATCAAATTGAAAATAAATTGAAAATTGAGATTTCCTAATAAAACCGTTTGACTGTTACCATATGAAATGCCACATATTTAATTGCTTGAAATGGGAATGAAAAAAAAATCCAGCCAAGTCCCCCTCGACCTTGAAAATTAATCGGATATTTCCCGAGAGTTTCGTTGCGTATTTTATTTTATTTGTTTTTTTAAGTATTTTATTTTATTTGTTTCATTGCTGCAAATATCGTCTGGAGACAAAAGAATTGTCAAGGCAGATTCCTCATCATGCAAGCATCGAAAAAATAATTTTTCCTCATATAGCTGCCTATTTCGAATAAAAAAAATTAGATTTATAATTCAAATTGATGGAAAATCAAAATTCTCGCTCGATCGCACGGTGGCCCTCTACCGGTATTGGTCGACCCAGAGCTCAAGCAGAGAGAGATATCGAATTAGAGCAGGTAGTTTTGTTAAGTGGATGAGGCCCCTCTCCCAGCTCTGACTAACGAAGCTCGGGAGCCGCGTGAGCCTAATGAGCCCAGGTTGCCGGGCCCTGATATATATATTGGGACGAGGCAACAGGTTAAATTACAGGTTAATTGTTAAAACACTGGGTCGAGCCCTTCCCCTGCCCCCTGATAATTAAAACGGTTGCTCTTTTTTTATTATTATAATTAGGTTAAGTCAGTAGTAAGTCACCATAAAAAGGAAAAAGAAGAATTAGGAGGAAGGTTAGGAAATCTGTCACCGTTGGGCAACTCATTCACCAGCTATTCCCTTCCCCCAGCCCGTTTCGCCGCGCCACGGTACTCACACCGATAATCGGAGAAGAAAGGGAATGAGTAACCAGAAACCATCACTCGTTGTACAGCCGCCCCAGACCTGATGGGTTTTTTTGTGAGGAGGATAATTTTGAAGAGAAGTATTGGAAAGTTTAAAGGGAAGTGGAGAGAAAGTGAAGAAATAGAGGAGAATTGCGAGGAGATTTTTATGGAGGAGGACTAGACCCAGGAGTGAAGAAAAAATAGGAGAGGAAGAACGAGAAGTTTGAGAGGATAATTTGGTAGAGAGGAAAACCTAGAGGATTTTTCCCGTAGTCGATTTGCCGCCATTTTCGTGAGTACTCATACGTTTGTTCCCTACTCTAACGAATTTTCCCCTAGCATAATTTCCCCCCACCGGTGTGCCTCTTTTATTCTTATTTCGAGACTATCAATTAGTTTATTTTAATATCATTTATCGCGGGAACCCCCTAATGAATAATTGTTCTCCCCCCCTTTTGTTACCGTTACCTTCTCCCTCTTTCTTTATTATTTTTGTATTATCTTTGGCCTGCCGCCGCAAGATGGCTGGCCTTCTCCCTTCCCTACGTTAGTATCAAAAGGCCGGAATTTCTCACTTGTTTGTTATTTTATTTTTTTGTGTTATCCGAGAACAGACGAATAGATATTGTGACGATAAATTCTCCCGAGTGAATTATTTCCCCCTATCCACCCGTTTTCAACATTTTCAGACCCTCCCGTAACATCAAGTTCTTTTCCCTTCTATTTTACATTATACAAATTATCCTGGCTCGCTCTGGGAATTATTTCATGGAATTCACCGGCCAAGGTCACAATATATATATATTGAATGAAGAATATTTTCTCCACTAGAAATCTCTGTCAATACTCCATTCTTCTCCATCCTCCAGATGTAAACATTCGGAATTTACACGCGAGACACCTCGAGTGAGACGGACAACTTTTGGTAGCTTCGACAAATGAGCGAGAGAGATGGCGGGAGAGGGGGATTATGTGGTGACGGGCCCATCATTGTCTTGCAGCCTCGCTTTGTCAGTACATCTAACGAAATCGGAGCAACAACTAAGTACTCTGGCAACGTGAATTTTTCTAAATTTCTGCGATTTCAAGTGATTTACGTGTGTTCTTACAATCCACTACTGATTTCTTGTTCTAGTGAAACTGGAAAGTTACGTGTTCCCCGATTCTGAACTCAGAGCTGAATTTGAGGAAGATGACAGCCGAATGGAGGACTGGTGACAGGGGCAGTTGGAAAAATCTGGGGAGAACATCCTCACATATTACAACATCATTGCGCGTCTCCAGGTACCCATGGGCTTGGTAATCAACTTCATGGCGTACCTGGGTGATCATTATTACGCCAACAAGGTAAAGTACTAAAATCAGTTATCACTTCTTATTCCTTCTCCTATCTCTAATGGATCATTTTCATCTGTTCATAGGAATCTCAGTTCCACCAGCAGATGAGGACGTTTTCAAACTTCCTGCGGTTGGTGGGCCGCGGCGTTGAGGCCCTGGAGTTATTGCCTTAAGTGCAGGGTATCGCGGCAGCAACTGTGATGATTCTGGACGCCCAGCATCACTACGGCAAGTGAATTACGTAAAGTCCATTTTTCTTCCTCCTCTTCACCATATTTTTTACTAGTCGAATCTATAAAATCTATTTTCTGTTCCGGGTGCAACCACCTCCAGGCCATCTATTTTTTATTTGATTTCTATTATAGTTAGCATAAGTTTATGTATCTAAAATAAGTTGTTATACTACGCTTTTATGATTTGTATTGTAACGAGGCAATTACTAGCCGCCTCCCGCTTCCCCCTAATAATTAACAGTTTTAAATAATAAACAGTCGCCAGAAATAGAATAGGATTTCGGGCGTAGATACACGTCAGGTTAGGAAACCTGTCACCGTTGGCTTCCCACTTCCGAACGTTTCCTTCTGCCCACCCCGTCACCTCTCACCGTGGTACTCACGCCACGAAGACGACCGCGAACAAGAAGAGGAGCAACCTCCCACACCCTACCGCTTCCCTTCATTGCCACACTGGGCAACAGAGGGAAATCATGTAAACGAAGACACAAGACCCCCC